TGGAGCATGAGGGCTGGGAGGATGGGGGGTGATATAGCTGAGGAGCACGGGTTTCTGAGTGATGAGACTGTTCTAAAATTGACTGGTGATGGGTCCCTTATTCTGTGACTACAAAGCCACTAAATTATACACTATAAAAGTATAGTGTGTGGATTATATCTCATTAAAGAGATATTTTTAAAGACTTTATTTACTTATTTTTAGACAATGGGGAAGGGAGGGAGGGAGAAAGAGAGGGAGAGAAACATCCATGTGTGGTTGCCTCTTGTGCTCCCCACACCGGGGAACCTGGCCTGCAACCCAGGCAGGTACCCTGACTGGGAATCGAACCAGTGACCCTCTACTTCACAGTTCAGTGCTCAGTCCACTGAGCCACACCATCCAGGGCTCATTAAAGATGTTTTTTAAAAGAATATAACAAATTATCTGTATCACAATCATTTTTTAAAGGGATTCAAAAGCTTAGCAAGACATAACCTTGAGACCATCCTATTCAGAAAATAATTTCCCATTAACTTGAAAACTGCAAAACCTCACTGTTTTCAGGCTTGGGTGTTGGAAAGAAGAGGATGTAATTTACTTTTTGACAAGGTGTTGGTCCAATACTCTCTTTAGAAACACCACTGATTGCAACTGGGCAGCGTCCACTCACTTGTAATTCTCTAATATGTACCAAAAATCTGTACTTGTGAAACTTTCCCAATGTCATTTTGAAAAAAATTTGTTCCAAAATGTATGTCATTTTTAGCTTAATGTTAATTAAATTATTTAATCATTATTCTTCAACTTTAAACAGTGACGTGACAACTCGCTATTTGTATTTCTCCTGTGTAACAACACAGAGTTTTATCTAAACACACAAAAACCACATGTAACAACACAGAGTTTTATCTAAACGCACAAAAACCACTCGGTGTTTAATAATACAGAACACAATTTTCTCAATTCTATATATTAGGAGAAGCTTGCGTCCAATGTGAAACCAGAAAATGTAAGACTTAGTGAGACCGCATGGTGGCGCTGCAGGTTAAATGATGGAAAATAGAATTGCCTACGTAACTCTGTTATACACAGTTTCACACAGCCTGGAAGCTAACGAACAGCTTTCTCAGCCAGAGCAAAAGTGAGTGTGAAACCTCTTTTAAAAACTGTATTTCGGGCATAGTTTTGCCGTTCCGGACGGCAGGACCGGGCTGCTAGGATCTTGGGCATACACACAAGAAGCTCCTGTGAACCACATTTTCAGGAAAGAGCAATGGAGACTGGATGGATGCGCAGTCGGAGACAAAGGCAAGTCCTTATTTTCTTTGTTTTGCTGAGCATGTCTGGGGTGGGCGCCGATTTAGGGCCCTACTCAGTAGTGGAAGAAACAGAGAGGGGATTCTTTGTGGCAAATCTGGGAAAAGACTTGGGATTGGGGCTGACGGAGATGTCGCGCCGTGGGGCCCGGATCATTTCTCAGGGCCACAAAGAGCACTTGCAACTCAAGCTGCAGACTGGGGATTTGCTCATAAAAGAGAAACTAGACCGAGAGGAGCTATGCGGTTCTGCGGAGACTTGTCAGCTACATTTCCAAGTGCTGATGGAAAACCCCTTGGAGATATTTCAGGCTGAACTAAGGGTGAAAGACATAAATGACCATTCTCCCGTGTTCTCGGAAAGAGAAATGATTCTAAAAATACCGGAAAACAGTCCCCTAGGAATGACATTCCCCCTGAATAATGCTCTGGACTTGGACGTAGGAAGCAACAATATTCAGAACTATAAAATCAGCCCCAACCCCCATTTTCAAGTTCTAACCCACAATCTGAGCGATGGCCGAAAATACCCGGAGCTGGTGCTGGACAAAGAGCTGGACCGGGAGGAGGAGCCTGAAATCGCGTTGATACTCACGGCGCTGGATGGCGGCTCTCCGCCACGGTCTGGGACCGCCCAGGTGCGCATCGAAGTGGTGGACACCAACGACAACGCCCCTGAGTTCGGGCAGCCGGTCTACAAGGTGCACATTCCTGAGAACAGCAGCGTGGGCTCCCTGGTTGCCACCGTCTCTGCCAGCGATTTAGACAGTGGAGTCAATGGAAAACTAGTATACTCCCTCTTTCGGCCTTCAGAAGATACTAGCCAAACTTTGGAGGTAAATCCTATAACAGGAGAAATTCGACTGAGAAAACAAGTAGATTTTGAAACAGTTCGGTCTTACGAAGTGGACATCAAGGCCACTGATGGGGGAGGTCTTTCAGGAAAATGCACCCTTTACCTGCAGGTGTTGGATGTGAATGATAACGCCCCAGAGGTGACCATGTCTGCACTGACCAGCCCCATCCCAGAGAATTCGCCTGAGACTGTAGTTGCTGTTTTCAGTGTTTCAGATCCAGACTCTGGGGACAATGGGAAGACGATTTGTTCAATCCCGGATGGCCTTCCTTTTCTTCTAAAACCTTCAGCCAAGAACTTTTACACCTTGGTAACGAAGGGAGCACTAGACAGAGAAGAAAGAGCCCATTACAACATCACCATCACCGTCACGGACCTGGGGACCCCCAGACTGAAAACCGAACACAACATAACCGTGCTGGTCTCCGACGTCAACGACAACGCCCCCGCCTTCACCCAAACCTCCTACACCCTCTTCATCCGCGAGAACAACAGCCCCGCCCTGCACATGGGCAGCGTCAGCGCCACAGACACAGACGCGGGCGCCAACGCCCAGGTCACCTACTCGCTGCTGCAGCCCCAGGACCCCAGCCTGCCCCTCCACTCGCTGGTGTCCATCAACGCCGACAACGGGCAGCTGTTCGCCCTGAGGGCGCTGGACTTCGAGGCCCTGCAGGCGTTCGAGTTCCTGGTGGGCGCCACGGACCGCGGGGCCCCGGCGCTGAGCAGCCAGGCGCTGGTGCGCGTGCAGGTGCTGGACGCCAACGACAACGCGCCCTTCGTGCTCTACCCGCTGCAGAACGGCTCTGCGCCCTGCACCGAGCTGGTGCCCAGGGCGGCCGAGCCCGGCTACCTGGTGAGCAAGGTGGTGGCGGTGGACGGCGACTCGGGCCAGAACGCCTGGCTGTCCTACCAGCTGCTCAAGGCCACGGAGCCCGGGCTGTTCGGCGTGTGGGCGCACAACGGCGAGGTGCGCACGGCGCGGCTGCTGAGCGAGCGCGACGCGGCCAAGCACAGGCTGCTGCTGCTGGTGAAGGACAACGGCGAGCCGCCGCTGTCGGCCAGCGTCACGCTGCACGTGCTGCTGGTGGACGGCTTCTCGCAGGCCTACCTGCCGCTGCCCGAAGCGGCGGCGGGCGCCGCGGCCCAGAGCGACCCGCTCACGGTCTACCTGGTCATCGCGCTGGCGTCGGTGTCGTCGCTCTTCCTGTTCTCGGTGCTGGCGTTCATCGCGGTGCGGCTGTGCAGGAGGGGCAGGGCGGGCTTGGTGGGTGGCTGCTCGGTGCCCGAGGGCCACTTTCCGGGCCACCTGGTGGACGTCAGCGGTACAGGGACCCTGTCCCAGAGCTACCAGTATGAGGTGTGTCTGAAGGGAGGTATGGGGACAGATGAGTTTAAATTTCTGCAGCCGATTATCCCCAGTCTTCCAGTCCATGACACTGGTAGGAATGTAGAGGAAAACGAGAACTTCAGGAATAGCTTTGGATTCAATATCCAATAAAAATTATTTTAAATATTTAATCTTTTATTATTCTTGGCTGACTGGGAATACTGCGGTTTTTTGGCTGAAGATTCAGGGGCCAGTGAGTTAAAGTTTTTAAAACCAATTATCCCCAATTTCACATCCCAGAGCATGGGGAGTGAAGTGGAATAAAATCCCTTCTTTTGGTATAGTTTTGGGGTTTCATTATTGATAAGTACCTATTTAATAAAGACAGTAACTTCTAATATATTTTGTGAACTAACTAAATTGTTTATGCCCACCACCAATAAGGTGCTGTTTATTTTCTCTATTTGGTTTATCCTCAATTTCCAGTTTTATGTTTAACTTCAAACATATGTTTAACTTCGTTTTTTCTCACATTTTAGCCCATTGAAGTATTTCTCAATAGAATCCCAATCAAATTAAATTAGGTTAATTCAATAGGTTTTTAATTAAATAGGTTTTACCTCCAAAATTGATATCATTAATTTTTTCCACCCTATAAATGTTCTTATTGAATTTCTACTTACATTTTCATTTTAGTTCTCCTTTTTCTACAACTACAATTATTAAAATAATCTGCTGCTTTTGGTCTGTATATTTATTATCTGATACTTCATTTCTCCTTACAATAATATTTTCGTTGCTTTGTCAACCTGTTTTTATTATAGCAATTTTCTAAAATTGTTACTTTTTAAAAAAGTTTTCTTTTTTGTATTGTTTTCTCCCTGTATTGTTATCTCCCTATTTAATATATAATATTTCTGTTGTGATGTGATAATTATTTAATCAGCTTTTATCTGAAAATAAGAAGAAATGACAATGTGAGACATCAAATGCATGGATATGTGGTTAAGTACGGAGACCAAAATAGTAAAGTTTAGGCATTTACAGTATCATATAGAAATATTTAATAATCTTCCCCTTTTCTGTATGCAAACATCAGAGATTCTTATAAAGTTTTTAATTTCTAACAATGCACTCCCAGTCAATTGAAAAGAAAACAGTAGAAATCATCAAGCAGACACTTATATAGTGTGACTTTTATAGTCAACAATTAGAATTTTTTTGGCAGTATCTAGTCCTTTCCTTGTACAATATACCCCATTTTATTCTGTTTCTCTTACTTAGTAAGGAAAAATAGAGCTCATTCCTAGCTGGATATTAGGCCTTTGAATAGAATCCTACATGAAGCTGCTGTTATAGTGCTGTTCTTATTTTCAGTGGTGTTAGGATGGGGATCAGTGTGGACTCCTCTTTTAAAAATTTTAAAATTTATTCCTAGAGAGAAGGGAAGGGAGGGAAAAAGAGAGGGAGAGAAACATCAATGTGTGGTTGCCTCTCATGTGCCCCCCAGTTGGGGACTTGGCCCTTGACCTGAACATGTGCCCTGACTTGGAATTGAATCAGTGACCCTTTGGTTCACAGGCCTGCATTCAATTCACTGAGCCACAGGAGCCAGGGACAGTGTGAGCTACTCTTTACCTCCATTTCTTTAGTGAAGAGAAATTAGATCACATTAGATTTTAATTAAGAGGGACTATAAAATAAAGGTCAGCTCCTTCTGTAGCTCTGCAAGTAATTTTAAAGCTAGTGTAAGAAAAACAAAGACATATTGAAGAAAGGGAACAAAAGTTGCAAGTAATAAGTAAGTGAAAGAATACGAATTTTGAACAGTAAGAAATTAAAGGCTCTGAAAATTGTTTTTATCCTCGAGTTGCTTTATACATGTCCGAATGCAGTTAGTATTCAGTGAGTGTCTGCTTTGCCGGCCAAAGATGAGGAGGACATAGTGTCCCTACTTAAGAAGGGACACAGTGACATGACACAAGAAGCAGTAATATTTATAGGGAAGTTATACAAGCTTTTATAAAAGCACAGAGGAGAGACAACTTGAATGCTTCTTCCTGGATTATAGAGTGGTGACTCAATTTAGGCAATGTAAGTAGGTTCTGAAGAAATCTGTAGAAGAAGGTGTGAAACAAGTTTTTGTCAGTTTTTGGAAAAGGAAAAGCTATTATCTGGTGTCTCGGAAGTCACCACCACGTTCCCTGTGCTTCCTGACATTGCATGGGGATAGTTTCAGGGGGGAAAGGCCTAGTACAGAGCTAAATACAGCACAACAAGGTGCACGGAGTTCAGTGCTAGGAACATTCTTTTTGCAACTGTTGAACATTTTACTTTCTCCCATGAAGCGGTGAAAAAACCTTAACAACATGAACAATTCTGCATATCAATGTTTTATTTGACAAAACATAGGAAAAATGAAATATGTGAATGAGCCACTAAAGAAGAAATTTATAAATACATACACATACAAATTAGGTGCAGATATATGAGTCTATTGGAGGCCAGGCGGTGGCGCTGCAGGCTAAAGAGACGGAATAAAGAATTGAATTGAGAGTGCTGCAGAGGTCACTAACAGAAAAATGAAGAACGAGGCAGGCTGGCTGAGGGAAAAGCCATAGCTGCTCAAGATCGCAGAAAACCCCAGACCCCTGCTTCTACAGGGGGTAGGTCTGGGGTTGCAACTGCTCCTTCCTTGTGCTGGGAGCTGTGACTGGGACTAATATTGACAAAAGATGTGTTCAGAAGAAGCTATGGAGGCTGGAGGGTTGCGCTGCCCAAGACAAAGGCAAGTCCTGTTTATCTTTCTGTTTTGGGGAGGATCTTTTGCAGGATCTGGGTTCGGACGATATTCAGTGACAGAGGAAACAGAGAGAGGATCTTTTGTGGCCAATTTGGTAACAGACCTGGGACTAGGGGACCGGGAGCTGGTTGCAAGGGGAGCACGGGTGGTCTTTGATGATAATAAACAACACTTGCTCCTGGACTCGCATACTGGGGATTTGCTCACAAATGAGAAACTGGACCGGGAGAAGCTGTGTGGCTCCACAGAGCCCTGCGTGCTGTATTTCCAAATTTTAGTGGATAACCCTTTTCAGATTTACCAGGCTGAGCTGACGGTCAGCGACATAAATGATCATTCACCAGTGTTTCAAAACAAAGAAACAGTCTTAAAAATCATAGAAAATACAGCTGAAGGAACAACATTTCGGCTAGAAAGAGCGCAGGATTCAGATGGAGGACTTAACGGTATCCAAAACTATACCATCAACGCCAACTCTTTTTTCCATATTAAAATTAATGACAGTGATGCAGACATGATATATCCAGAGCTAGTCTTGGACAAGGCGCTGGACAGGGAAAAGCAGCAAGAGCTGAGTTTAACACTCACTGCACTTGATGGTGGGTCCCCACCCAGGTCTGGGACCTCCACTATACGCATTGTGATCCTGGATGTCAATGACAATGCCCCACAGTTTTCTCAGGCCGTCTACCAGACCCAGGTTCTAGAGAACAGCCCTGTAGGTTCCATTATTGCTAAAGTTTCTGCAGGAGATATAGACTCTGGAGTCTATGCAGATATATCTTACTCATTTTTTGATGCTTCTGAAGATATTCGAACAACCTTCCAAATCAATCCTTTTTCCGGGGAAATCGTTCTCAGAGTGCTGCTTGATTACGAGCTAGTAAAGTCTTACAAAATCAGTATCCAGGCAATCGATGGTGGGGGCCTTTTTGCAAGATGTACGGTTTTGGTTGAGGTTCTAGACGCCAATGACAATCCCCCTGAACTGATCATGTCATCACTTTCCAACCATGTTCCTGAGAACTCTCCTGAGACCATATTGGCTGTTTTTAGGATTAAGGACAGAGATTCTGGAGAAAATGGAAAAATGATTTGTTACATTCAAGATAATCTGCCATTCCTTCTGAGACCCTCTGTGGAGAATTTTTACATTCTAATGACAGAAGGAGCGCTGGACAGAGAAAGCCAAGCAGAGTACAACATCACCATCACCGTCACCGACCTGGGGACACCTAGACTGAAAACCCAGCACAACATAACCGTGCTGGTCTCCGACGTCAACGACAACGCCCCCGCCTTCACCCAAACCTCCTACACCCTCTTCATCCGCGAGAACAACAGCCCCGCCCTGCACATGGGCAGCGTCAGCGCCACAGACACAGACGCGGGCGCCAACGCCCAGGTCACCTACTCGCTGCTGCAGCCCCAGGACCCCAGCCTGCCCCTCCACTCGCTGGTGTCCATCAACGCGGACAACGGCCACCTGTTCGCCCTGAGGGCGCTGGACTTCGAGGCCCTGCAGGCGTTCGAGTTCCTGGTGGGCGCCACGGACCGCGGGGCCCCGGCGCTGAGCAGCCAGGCGCTGGTGCGCGTGCAGGTGCTGGACGCCAACGACAACGCGCCCTTCGTGCTCTACCCGCTGCAGAACGGCTCTGCGCCCTGCACCGAGCTGGTGCCCAGGGCGGCCGAGCCCGGCTACCTGGTGAGCAAGGTGGTGGCGGTGGACGGCGACTCGGGCCAGAACGCCTGGCTGTCCTACCAGCTGCTCAAGGCCACGGAGCCCGGGCTGTTCGGCGTGTGGGCGCACAACGGCGAGGTGCGCACGGCGCGGCTGCTGAGCGAGCGCGACGCGGCCAAGCACAGGCTGCTGCTGCTGGTGAAGGACAACGGCGAGCCGCCGCTGTCGGCCAGCGTCACGCTGCACGTGCTGCTGGTGGACGGCTTCTCGCAGGCCTACCTGCCGCTGCCCGAAGCGGCGGCGGGCGCCGCGGCCCAGAGCGACCCGCTCACGGTCTACCTGGTCATCGCGCTGGCGTCGGTGTCGTCGCTCTTCCTGTTCTCGGTGCTGGCGTTCATCGCGGTGCGGCTGTGCAGGAGGGGCAGGGCGGGCTTGGTGGGTGGCTGCTCGGTGCCCGAGGGCCACTTCCCGGGCCACCTGGTGGACGTCAGCGGTACAGGGACCCTGTCCCAGAGCTACCAGTACGAGGTGTGTCTGAAGGGAGGCTCAGGGACCAGCGAGTTCAAGTTTCTGAAGCCAATTCTCCCCAATATTCAGGAACAGGGCTTTGAGAGGAATAGTGAAGAAACCCCTGCCTTTCGAAATAGCTTTGGATTTAATTTTTAGTAGTTTTAAAAATATTTTCTCGTACTTTTGAGGTGTTTTGCAACCATATAAATATTGGTTTACTTTTGAAACTCCATATTAAATTATTATGTCTAATTTTAAAGTACTATATATCTATGTTTTTGTACTGTTATTTCATAATTTTTGCATTAATCAACATTTCACTCAGTTAGTATCCATTTCTAAATAATCGTTTTAAGGTTTAATTTTTTTCTAATGATTTAGTTATTTTTTTTTTTTATTCTAGAGAACTGAGGGTCTCGTTTTTCTGGTAGCACATTTCACAGACTGTGTCTATTATTCTAACTACCCTTCTGTTGTTCTTCCTCCATGTAAGGAAACACACATGCAGTTCTGACCTTATTCCAACATCCTGTTTAGTCATGTTAGACGTTCATGTCTTCTACTTTTAAATCATAGCCCTTGAAAGGAAATATTTCTCTATTATCCTGCTCATGATAAAATAAAACATCATTTTGTGAGTGATAGTGGGCCCCAATAACATTCTTGTTTATATTATTGTTCTTTTACATATATTACTTTTACTCAGTATTTTCTAATGTTCACTTTTACTGATATGTGAAACAGAACATGTCTTATAATTAAAACAAAGTGTAATAACCTGCATGAAAATATTATAAATGAATCATTTTGGAAGTTTGAATGTGAGACTATTGGTGAACTGATGGAAAGATATCTTTCCTTTCACTTGTTTTGTAAATGTATTTAATTACTGCCAAATTTAAAAATCAAGGTGTACTAAAATCACAAAGAAATACAGTAGTTTGTTGTTGTTTTTTTTTTGCCTCTGGACACCTTCTATGCATGGTTTCTCTAGAATTGATCTCAATATTCCAAAGTAACGTGTTTCTATTGCCCTATCTTGACATTCAGTTTTATTTATTTTTTAAAGGTTTTATTTATTTATCTTTAGAGGGTAAGGAAAGGAGAGAGGGAGAGAAATATCAGTGTATGGTTGCCTCTCATGCATCCTCTGCTGGGAACTGGCCTGCAACCCAGGCATGTGCCCTGACTGGGAATCGAACCGCGATCCTTTGGTTCGCAGGCCCACAATCCCCTGAGCTACAGCAGCCAGGGTGACATTCAGTTTTATAGATACTTTAATCATCTCTTCATATGACAAAAAAATTTAACTCTTTTACTTTGCAACTAACGGCCACACATACAAGCATTGCACATTTCCTTTCTCCTGTTCTCCCAGTGGTGTTGCCAGAGGGAATTCTTAGTTAAATAGTCATTTTTGTTTACATAGATAAGAGTATTTCAAAATTCATGTGGGTGTATTATGATTACACTTACTTTCTCAAAAAACATTTTTCTAGAGCTGATAACCGTTGTTTTTACATGCATAATTTTCTACTTACTGCTGTTACATTTTCACATTTGAATATTAATCTTTCTTCTTAAATAGTCAAGTACACCAGCTATTATTAATTACATGTATTCCCTTGAGATCTTTCACCCAGATCCCTCCATATCCCTGTTGCATTTACACTGGCTGCTCTATAAGCAGTCACCCTATGTCTTTTTTTCTTTCATTACTTTTCTGTATTGATCCCCTTTTACAAAATCCAGTATATTCTTCTTTCTTAGTTCACTCCCTTATTCAGCTGACACACATCTCTCGATAGCTTTGTAAAAATGGGTGCAGAGACCTTTTCTTCTGAACATATTGTCATTTTCTTTCCATTTCATTGATAGTTTGACTGGGTATAAAATTTTAGGTTGAAAATAATTTTCCTTCATATTTTGAAAGCAGCATTCCTTCTACTGATCTTATATAAATTTGCTGGTCTTTTGTTTCCATTCTGGCTTCTGTCTCTTTTAATGTCAACCCACTTTTTTCACTGTGGATGCATTAGAAGCTTTCCCCTTGATTTCTGAAAATGACTCATAATTTTCCTCTTAAATTTTCTGCATTCTCACTTTAACCAGAATCTCTTTAGTTAAATAATAGATATCCTGGATTAAATCTCTAGTACTCTATTTTTCCCTTTCTTATTTTTCCTTTGTCTCTTTTTCTACTTTTTGAACAATTTGGTGTGTCATCCAATTCTTATTTGAGGGAGCTTACACATAATTTTCAGAGCTCTTTGTTTATTTTCTTAGTGTTTTTCATAGCATCCTGTTACAGATTTGTAAATGTAAAATCTTCTCTCATCTATAATTAATCTAGTTATTCTTTTTCAATGCACTATGCAAAAATGCATTATTCAGTAAAAACTATTATACCTATTTTAAAAATAAAAGAATCATAGGAAATTTAAGAACTTACTCAAGATTATGATGCTAGTAAAGGGCACATAAGCCTTAATCTATTTTTAAAAATATTTTATTTATTTATTTTTCGAGAGAGGGGAAGGGAAGGAGAAAGAGTGGGAGAGAAATATCAATGTGTGGTTGCCTCTCATGCGTCCTCTGCTGGGAACTGGCCTGCAACCCAGGCATGTGCCCTGACTAGGAATCACTATTCTTTATGTTATAATAAGATTACATGCTTCATTCAATTATCGTTATGATTAAATGGGTAAACACATAAATGACACTTAAAACAATGAGTAACACAAAGTAAATACTCAATAAGTATTAACTCTTAGTAGATTTTCCTACTCTAGGGATAGTAGTCAGACATTTTTAAGACCTTTCTTCTGTTTACTCTATTATATCTGTTTCCTGTTATTCTTTTTTGTGGTGGTTTTGGCTTTTCATGTTATGTTGTAGGCATTTCCTCAAATGTTTTGTAGTCCTTGTCTGTCTTCTCATATTTGAGACTGATGGACCCTCACAGTGCTGACAGTCAGCTCTTTGTGAGTATGTGAGGCCTGTTGGTGACAGGGCTCCACTCTAATGTAACCATGTAGCAGGGGGCTATCGCCTTGGGACATCCTCAAATATCAGTATGTGTCAGTTTTTATCTGAATCTGCATATCCTCCAGCTTAGTATTCTGCAATATCTCCTGTGTAATATCTTTTGTGTGAGAGAGAGTTAGGAAGGGAATCAAGCATACACTTTGTGTCCTACAATTAGAGCATACTGCATGAAAGGAGCTAGAAATGTCACCATTCAGGATACAATTTCACTCGCTCTTTCCATTTTTACTTTCACACTTTCCACTTGCACTCAGCTCTGCCTGGGGTCTTCAAAAGTACACATAACCCCTTTGAATTTCTCCATTAAATAAACTTTCCACTCTCTGGCCGTGAGTTTCTTTCCTGCCTGTGTAGGGTGAGAAGTTGAGTAAATGCAACTCTCCTACAATGTACATCCAACTAACTTATTTTTAGTTCTCAACTGACTGCAGTCTCTTTATGCACTTGGTTCCTTCATCTCTTGTACTTAAACGAGGTTATGTGACACAAAGTCACTACTTTCTTGTGAATATCTTCCATGCAAGATCTTCACTTTAGACATGGCTTGGATCTGCTAACTCAGCTGACCTTCCCTCTGGTCTTTGTCATCAAACATAAATGTGCTCACTTGAATTCTTAGTCTATTGTGAGTTTATACCATTTTTATTTCTTCTAATTTAAATGGGTATTTTAAAAGATGAGAGAATTACTGTGTGTAATTGATCTATCTATTTTTTAGTTTCTACCCTTTTGTAGTGATTGCTTTTCAACCATGTAGCTAACTTAGATTTTTAAGAATGTAAATTACTTAACATGTTAAAAGTGCAAACCTGTTGGATACATCTCTTCCATCCATCTCCAGAGCACTTTTGAGGTCTCCTATAATACACATAATTGCTGAGCTTCTAGCATTTATTTCAAACAGTCGCTCTCATTATGTAGCAACCATGCTCTTCAGCTAATCAAAGGTGGTCAGAGACAGGATCAAAACAAAGCAAAAACCAAAGATAAGTCTTCAGATTCTGAGACTAAAATCTCCACACATACTTGTATAACTTTTGAAACAACGACTGCTTCAGTAGCAGGTATATGATCTTAGTTGTCCTAATCAGAGTAAAACTAAATTTTTGTTCTATGATTGATAAGAGAAACTCTCATGTCCCACTCTTTTCTGAGCTGAAAGAAAAAGCAGAGGACCATCGTCGTAGCCAGAATAAATCTTGGGAACCTGAGGGAAATGAGTTATAGGAGTAATCCTGCTTCAAATAAAACCATCATAGGCCCTGGCTGGTGTAGCTCAGTGGATTGAGCACGGGCCTGCGAACCCTATGATCACAGTTGGATTCCCAGTCAGGGCACATGCCTGGGTTGCAGGCCAGTTCCCAGCAGGGGGCGCACAAAAGGCAACCGTACATTGATGTTTCTCTCCCTCTCTTCTTCCCCCCTTCTCCTCTAAAGATAAATAAATAAAATCTTTTTAAAAAGTGTAAAGTTCAATTATTTAAAAAAAACATCATGTTTGTGTTTGTGTACTTTTAAATCTTTAAAACATTATGAGAAACTAGAACTAAATTGTAGACTTACATAGTATGTTCCACCCCAATAGATTTTACTTCATTTTCTTCCAGTTCACAGACCATTGATATTAAGGAAATCTACTGAAATGTCTTCTTGTGCTACAACACCCATCTAACTACATATGTCCCATCTCATGGTTAGTTCTGTTTCCTGTCCTCTGAGGGAACTTCTGAAATGACTTGTGCACACTTTCCCTTTTCCTTACTGGCTAAAGAAGGCCAAGTAGTGATGAGATTTTTTTATGAGGTTAACAGTCACTTATACTGTTCGTGTTTCAGGCTTCAAATCTTCTCAGAAAAATCACAAGTTCCTGGAGCCATGAATTTTATCTTGTATTTCATTATTCACCACAACTGAGCACTTTCAGGTGTTTTGAGGGAGGGCATTTAAATACTTTAAAAAGATCTTAACAGCATCACAAACTACAAAAAGTATAATCAATTCTTGCAGAAGAATGTATTTGTAATCACTTAAACACAGTGAATAAAATAACATTTGTTTCTGGAGGACAGTCATGTGAGTGGAATTTAGGTAGCTTTCATCGAACACTGAAAATCTGTGCAAACGCATGGTGGCGCTGCAGGATAACATCGGGGGAAACTGCACTGGATGACGCGTTGGACACTTACCTAGGGCACACAAAGAGTTGGGAAGACAGAACAAGCTTTGAAGGGGCAAATTAGAAGCTATTCAAAGGGGGTTAAAATCTTTAGGCCTCCAATAATTCAGTGGACAGCTGAGACACGTCTGCCAGAACAGCAAAGTGGAGCTGAAGCGATTCTGCAGGAAGCCTTGGGGAAAGGAGCTATGGAGAACCGCGGAAAAGGGACTCTTCGGATCAGGCAAGTCCTCCTTTTTGTTTTGCTGAGAATGTCTCAGGCGGAATCTGAGCTTGAGCGCTTTTCTGTGGCAGAGGAAATGCAGAGCGGGAGCCTTGTAGGCAATTTGGCAAAGAACCTGGGACTGGAAGTGGGTGAGCTCTTCTCCAGGGGGGCTCAGGTGGTCTCTCGTGATAACAAACACCATTTGCAGCTGGACTTAAACACTGGGGATTTGCTCTTAAGCGAAGCGCTAGACCGGGAGGAGCTCTGTGGCTCCACCGAGCCATGCGTGCTGCATTTCCAGGTATTACTGAAAAACCCCTTGCAGTTTTTACAGATTGAGCTCCAGGTCAGGGATGTAAATGACCACTCTCCTGTCTTCTTGGAAAAAGAAATGCTCCTAGAAATCCCAGAGAATAGTCCTGTGGGCTCTGTGTTCTTGCTAGAAAGTGGGAAGGATTTAGATGTAGGAATCAATGCTCTAAAGAGCTACACAATAAGCTCCAACTCTCATTTCCACATTAAAATGAGAGTCAATCCAGACAACAGAATATATCCAGAGTTAGTTCTGGACAAGCCTCTGGATTATGAAGAGCAGTCGGAGCTCAGTCTCATCCTCACGGCTCTGGATGGCGGGTCCCCGCCCAGGTCCGGGACTGCCTCGGTGCGGGTGGTGGTCTTGGACATAAATGACAACATCCCGGAGTTTGAGCAGCCATTTTATGAGGTGAAGATTCCGGAGAATAGCTTACTAGGCTCGCTGGTTGTCACTGTCTCAGCTCGGGATTTAGACTCAGGAAAGAATGGGGAAATATCATATACTTTTTCTCATGCTTCAGAAGATATTCACAAGACATTTGAAATTAATCAAAAGTCTGGAGAAGTTAGTTTAATAGCATCATTGGATTTTGAAACAATTGAGTCATATTCAATAATTATTCAAGCCACAGATGGGGGAGGGCTTTTTGGGAAATCAACGGTCAGAATTCAGGTGCTGGATGTAAATGACAATGCTCCTGAAGTCACTGTGTCATCAGTTACAAGCCCAATCCCAGAAAATTCGCCTGAGACTGTAGTTGTGGTTTTTAGTATCCGAGACAGAGATTCTGGGGACAATGGGAGGATGTTTTGTTCTATCCCAGAAGACCTCCCCTTCACGCTAAAATCTTCAGGAAAGAATTATTATACCTTAGAAACGGGAGGAACACTGGACAGAGAAAGTAGGGCCCAGTATAATGTCACCATCACCGTCACCGACCTGGGGACACCCAGACTGAAAACCCAGCACAACATAACCGTGCTGGTCTCCGACGTCAACGACAACGCCCCCGCCTTCACCCAAACCTCCTACACCCTCTTCATCCGCGAGAACAACAGCCCCGCCCTGCACATGGGCAGCGTCAGCGCCACAGACACAGACGCGGGCGCCAACGCCCAGGTCACCTACTCGCTGCTGCAGCCCCAGGACCCCAGCCTGCCCCTCCACTCGCTGGTGTCCATCAACGCCGACAACGGCCACCTGTTCGCCCTGAGGGCGCTGGACTTCGAGGCCCTGCAGGCGTTCGAGTTCCTGGTGGGCGCCACGGACCGCGGGGCCCCGGCGCTGAGCAGCCAGGCGCTGGTGCGCGTGCAGGTGCTGGACGCCAACGACAACGCGCCCTTCGTGCTCTACCCGCTGCAGAACGGCTCTGCGCCCTGCACCGAGCTGGTGCCCAGGGCGGCCGAGCCCGGCTACCTGGTGAGCAAGGTGGTGGCGGTGGACGGCGACTCGGGCCAGAACGCCTGGCTGTCCTACCAGCTGCTCAAGGCCACGGAGCCCGGGCTGTTCGGCGTGTGGGCGCACAACGGCGAGGTGCGCACGGCGCGGCTGCTGAGCGAGCGCGACGCGGCCAAGCACAGGCTGCTGCTGCTGGTGAAGGACAACGGCGAGCCGCCGCTGTCGGCCAGCGTCACGCTGCACGTGCTGCTGGTGGACGGCTTCTCGCAGGCCTACCTGCCGCTGCCCGAAGCGGCGGCGGGCGCCGCGGCCCAGAGCGACCCGCTCACGGTCTACCTGGTCATCGCGCTGGCGTCGGTGTCGTCGCTCTTCCTGTTCTCGGTGCTGGCGTTCATCGCGGTGCGGCTGTGCAGGAGGGGCAGGGCGGGCTTGGTGGGCGGCTGCTCGGTGCCCGAGGGCCACTTTCCGGGCCACCTGGTGGACGTCAGCGGCACAGGGACCCTGTCCCAGAGCTACCAGTACGAGGTGTGTCTGAAGGGAGGTATGGGGACAGATGAGTTTAAATTTCTGAAGCCGATTATACCCAACATTCCGCCCCAGTGCCCCAGGAAAGAAATAGAGGGAAGTCCTACCTTCCATAACAGCTTTGGGTTCAATATTAAGTGATCATAATTACCTGTCATACCCCGAGTGTATTTTGTTTTTGTGCCACTTCTATGCCTATCTTATCCCTCAGTTTGTGGGTATTTTAAATTGTACTTGTTGTTAGTTCTATATTTTTGCATGTTCTCCCTACCTTTACTTATAAGTGAATGTTTATCATTATCTGTGGTTGTAATGAGGTGGTCATTTATTCTCTAACTCAGGAGGTCTTCACTTGTAATTAATTTGCCTCCTTAAATAATAATACCAAATCACTGTTTGTTTCTGACCCTCTCTCCAATTGAATTTTTACCCACAATTATACCTATGGTAAAATAAAGCAGACCACTTTCAACTTATTTTAACTGTTCAAACATTTCTTCATTTTTAAAGCCCCATTTCTTGGGGTTTAATAATGGTGGCTATTTAGAAATGTCATTTTCTTTTATTAAATCCACTACCTCTTATTTATTTATTTTTAATTTTTTTGTTAAGATTTTATTTATCTTTAGAGGGGAAGGGAAAGAGAGAAATATCAATGTATGGTTGCCTCTCGTGTGTCCCCTGCTGGGAACTGGCCTGCAACCGAAGCATGTACCCTGACTGGGAATCGGACTGCAGTTGTTTGGTTCACAGGCCCGAGCTCAATCTAGTGAGCTACACCAGCCAGGGCTAAATCCAATGCATTTTAGTTACATTTTAACACCTGCTCTGGCTGGTGTGGTTCAGTGGGTTGAGTGACTGCCTTCGGGCAAAGGAAGGTCATCGATTCTGGTCAGGGCATGTGCCTCATTTGTTGGCCAGGTCCCCAGGTAGGGGCATGAAAGAGGCAGCCAATAGATATTTCTCTCCCTCTCTTTCTCCACCCCTTTCCTTTTTTCTAAAAAAAATAAAATTAAATAAAACATAAAATGTGTATTACTATTGGAAATATGCCTGAAAGATCATGTCCTATAACACCTTGTTAGAGAGAGCCAGAGGGCAGTTTTCTTAGCATCTCTCCATTGCTCATTCATCTCTCCATTGCTCATTCTAAAGCACGATTGTGAAGACACATTAATACTGTGACCACTCACAGAATCATGGAATGTGAAGTTATGATTTTCCAGATGTCTCGTGAATGTGACAAAGCTATAATGCAATCCTGTTGAAAGCAGACAGCTGAATAATATTTTGTACAGCATACAGTAGACTTGTGTGCTACTGTGTATAATTTTTGGCCTCCTGTGTACACACACACACATACAGAGGGTACAAGTTTTCAAATTTAAAACTATACAACCAATAGAAAAATTATTCTGTACATCTTATGTAACATACAAAGAAATGTTTTAAAATAATGTTTAGCTTTCTTGTTGATGCAACCTAAAATTGCCTGTATTATTCCATTCTATTTAATTGTCAGAAGGGGTCATCATAAATTGATTTAATAACCTGACCTACTGATGAGTAGCAATCCAAAGTCTGAAGTCCCCTTTTCTCAGAGATATATATAGAACATTGAAAAGTATAAAAACATAGTCCTTCAAGATTCTAATTTTTTTTTATTTTTAGAAAAAGGGGAAGGGAGGGAGGAAGAGAGGAAGAGAAACATGATGTGAGAGAGAAGCATCTGTTGTTCCCCCTTGTACACACCTCAACCGGGGATGTGCCCTGATAGGGAATGGAACCTCTGGCCTTTTGTTTGTGAGACAATGCCCAACCAACTGAGCCACACTGGTCAGAGCAAGATTCTAATTTTTCCAAATTTTATTTTAATTGTTCAAATACAAGATTCTAATTTTTAAAGAAAATTCAAACCATGGTAGAAGGAAGCTTTCTTTCATGCTGCACAGGAACCAACCAACTGCTTTTGCCTTTAGTGATATGACTACATTACAGAGGAAAAAGCCTTCATTTGAGGGGTGAAGTTTTTCAATACATTTTATTTAAAAAACTTAAAGCTTATATGTTGTGGAAAGAAAAAGTAGATGGACAAAATGAGTCAGGGTGCAAAGGGCAAGGGAGTGTGTGTATGTGTGAGAGACAAAGACAGAAATAGAGGCACTGGAATGAGAAGATGAGTAAGAATGGGTGCACTGATTGTTTCTATTGCTTCTAGTGCCACAGACTAGAATCAGTGCCAGAAACTGCCCCTTGAGGATGTCTTTAAACTTTACCTTAACATTACAGAGGAGCTGGGTATTAGTTAATATTGACAGGAAGTACAATCTTTTGCTGTAACAAACCAAAAACAATCTGATGTTTAAATTTCTTAAAAGCCGAGGTTTCACTACCAGTTTTTTTTAACTGTGTGGGCTGATTAATTAGTCTTTGAATTCAAGAAAAATGGAGGGTACCAAAGTCTCTGTATGCAGCCTTATTAAATTCTAATTTTCCATTTTCAGAATTGGAACTAGGAGCAAGCCTTTCTCCCCTAAGTGAAAGCTGCAGCAAAACTCATGTGATATTAATACATCAGCTGAGTATTAAGATTACTTCCTGTCTTTACTGTACTTAGTGGGGGAAATGAAGGAGTACCACTAGCTTAAAGAGATATAAAGTGTTATGGATTCTTACCATGTCAGACAATGATAATACTAGGAATACTAGGTAATACTATTATTACCCCAACTTACAGGTTAGGAAATAGAGGTACATAACTCGCCCGAGACCACAGATAGTAGTGAGTGGCAGACTACAATTCTAATGTAGACAGTTTGGCTTTTAATTATTATTTTTTTTTACATTTGGAAAATTTTAAACTTATGTACTTTATTATTTTTTAAGATTTTATTTATTTATTTTTAGAGAGGAAGGGAAGGAGAGAAGGAGAGAAACATCAATGTGTGGTTGCCTCTCGTGAGTCCCCTGCTGGGAACTGGCTTGCAAACCAGGCATGTGCCCTGACTGGGAATTGAACTGTGATTGTGTGGTTCGCAGGCCTGCGCTCAACCCACTGAGCTACACCAGCCAGGGGTGACAGTTTGGCTTTTAAATCTATGTTCTTAATCATCATGCTATGCTCCCTCCTAGCTTTAAGATGCTCCTTTTAAGTCTTTCTGTATTACTCTTTATTTGTGCATATGTTGTGACACATTTTAATTGCTTACCACCAAATTTTATAGCCTGTGAGCTCCATAAAGACAAGAATTATCTCCATCTTATATGCTATGCCTTTACATGTGTATTTCTAAAAATATATAAGTGAAAAAATAATGATGTTTCTAACTATAATTGATTGAATTCAAGTATTTACAAGAGTTGAGAGGAGAATATATTTGCAGTTAGTCAAGAAATGGCTTGAATAAAATATCATTTATTCAGTTCAAGACATTTGTATGGATTCTTCTTGTCAGGCATTCAAAACAATGATAATTAAAATCACTATAAAGACTTTTATGGATCCAAATTCAAACAAATCAACAATTTAAAAATTATTCTTGAAAAAAAATTATTCTTGGAGGAAACTGGGAAAACCAAACAGCATGAGTATAAATTACATCAAGGAATTATTGCTCAATGTGTTGATTGTGATAGAAGTATAGTAATTATATTTTGGAAGTCTTTATCTATCACAGGTACTTAATGAAGTATTTAGAGGTAAAACAATGCTGTCTGGGATTTGCTTCAAAATACTCCAGATGTATTCCTGAATTACTCCTTTAAAGAGAAAAACATTTTACTGAAAAAAACTCATAGAGACGCATGGTGGCGCTGCAGGACAAGACGAAAACAGGACACGCTGTGGGCTCCTTTATTCACCAGAACAGAATATCCAACCCATTTAAAAGAGAGGTATTCAGGAGCTTCATTTTCAGAGCTGCTGCAGGGCTATGCACCTTCCGGGGGTTACCTACAAAATAAATCAGAATTCTACCTAACAAAATTAGGACTAAACTAAGTTTTTCCACAAAAGGGATTGCTCAAAGGAACCATGGAGATCAGAGGAGCGCTCACTCTGCGGAAAAGGCAAGTCCTGATTTTCTTTGTTTGGCTGGGATTGTCTGAGGCAGGGCGAGAATCGGTGCACTATTCTGTGGCAGAGGAAAAAGAAATTGGCTCTTTCGTGGCCAATCTGGCAAGGGATCTGGGGCTCGGGGTGGAGGAGCTGTCCTCACGGGAGGCCCGGATAGTTTCTGATGATAATGAGCAGCATTTACACCTGGATTTGCTGACTGGGGATTTGCACCTAAACAAGAGACTGGACCGAGAAGAGCTCTGTGGCTCCACGGAGCCCTGTGTGTTGCATTTTCAGGTGTTATTGCAAAACCCTTTGAAGTTTTTCTTGGTTGAGCTGCACATCAAAGATATAAATGATCACTCCCCTACATTCTTGGATAACAAAATGCTTTTGAAAATATCAGAAAGTACCACTCTTGGAACCACATTCTTAATGGAGAGTGCCCAAGATTTGGACATAGGAAGCAACAGTCTCCAAAACTACACAATCAGCCCCAATTCTCATTTCTCCATTAAAGTTCAAGACAGTGGTGATGGAAAAATATACCCAGAATTGGTCCTGGACAGAATGTTAGATCATGAAAAGGAGCCTGAGCTCAGATTAACACTTGTAGCACTGGATGGTGGATCCCCACCTAGGTCTGGGACAACTTTGGTTCTCATCGACGTCTTGGACATCAATGACAACGCCCCTGAGTTTCCTCAGAAGCTCTATGAGGTGCAGGTCCTGGAGGACACACCCATTGGTTCCTGGATAATCACCACCTCTGCTAAGGATCTGGATGCAGGAAACTATGGGAAGGTATCTTACATATTTTTCCATGCATCTGAAGACATTCGTAAAACGTTTGAAATCAACTCTACATCTGGGGAAGTACGTTTGAGATCTAGGTTGGATTTTGAAGTAATACAGTCCTACACTATAAATATTCAGGCAACAGATGGTGGGGGTCTTTCAGAAAAATGTTCTCTTCTGATAAAAGTACTAGATGTAAATGATAATTCACCAGAAGTGACCATGTCATCAATTACAAACAGAGTTCCAGAAAATTCACCACAGATTCTTGTTGCTGTTTTTAGTATTCGAGACCAAGACTCTGGGGACAATGGAAGAATGGTTTGCTCTATTCAAGATGATCTCCCATTTATTCTGAAACCTACACTTAAGAATTTCTTCACTCTGGTTACTGAAAAAGCACTGGACAGAGAGATGAGAGATGAGTATAGCATCACCATCACCGTCACCGACCTGGGGACACCCAGACTGAAAACCCAGCACAACATAACCGTGTTTGTTTCTGACGTCAACGACAACGCCCCCGCCTTCACCCAAACCTCCTACACCCTCTTCATCCGCGAGAACAACAGCCCCGCCCTGCACATGGGCAGCGTCA